CGTTTTCATATTTAAAGGATTTTCCATTGTCGATTCAAACGCGAGTTTTGAGCAGTGTAGAGCAGTGCTTGTTGTTTGTCATTTCTCCGATCACAAATGCAGACATTGTTTTATGTTTACGTGGCGCGATGCAACGCAACACGTAAAAAGACAGTATAAATCATTATAATCCGTAATTATGTCCCCACTGGATGCAACAAATGCCTCGTTTATAATGGGTTTTAATGTTTTTGTCTCGTCGCTCCATCACAGTATGGTGAGGGGTGTAACATTTCCGTCACACGCTTGAGGTATTCGGCCAATCACAACGCACTCGATAGCTGGCCAATCAGAGCACACCTCGCTTTTCAGACAGATGAGCTTTGTAAAAATCAACGCGTTTCAGAAAGGCGGGGCATAGAGGAGAAACAATAATGTCCGGAATGTGGAAAATAATGTATTTTTTTTACTTTAAACCGCATAAACACATTTCATTACACCAAATACACAAAATAATGTTCTTTTTAGCAACATCATATGACCCCTTTAAAGAGTCAGTGAAAAGGATTCACAATCTCAAACTCATTCGCTCTTGAGTCAGTTTGAAACAGACTAAAGGGTGTAATACACTGCACGACTTTTACAATTGAAACAGATTTTAGAACACTAGGCATCATACACTTTCTGACTTTCTAAATAGTTGCAGAAAAAACTTGGCCTCATACACTAAACAACTGAGGAACTCACACTACCAGACTTTCAAGTTGTTCCGAACATTTGCTTTGTTGCTAGAAGATATGTGACAAATGAAAACAATATTTGTTCTAAAATTGACTCAAAATATTAAACATGTTTGATGTCTTCTGAATGGATAAAATCAGAGTCTAAAGCTAAAAACTCTTGAGTATTAAAAAAAAAAAAAATCATAAATCATAAAAATGTAAGATAAAAGATAAAACACTTATGAAAAAGATTAATTTATGTGTTTACCTGCATGTCATATGACAATTAACTAACATCAGAGAACTGTGGACATGTAAATGTGTCATTAAATTAGTAAAATTTTAACCTTAAATTACTGGGCTACTTCTAGTAAATATTTTATATCGAAGGGGTTCAGCTGACAAAATGTCTAGGAATCCCTGAATTACATATAACTAAACAAAAACAAGTTTCTTTGTAATTGTTTGTGAAATTTACTAGCAATTTGTGAATGAAAATTATTTCTATACTAATTTTTTTTCATTGTACTTAAATAGCCATAGCCTATATACTGTATAAACCATGCATTACTGCACCAAAGGGTTCTGTAATTTGTCAACGAAAAATTAATTTGGCTTCTAAATGTATCATTTTAGTAACCTTTTTTCTCATCAGTAGCCCTTTTGCTCTCTTTGACCCTGCGAGTTCTTTTTGATGTAAAAATGCTGCACAGAGAAACAGTACAGAATTTAAAACAGTTGAAAGAACCAATTAAATTTCCATTACATGTACCTGTACCGTTCTTTCTCTCCCTTTAAACGGAGTGATATATTTAGATAGGCAAACTGCAGATGCAGATAAGGCAGTGGGTCACACAGGTCTCTGCCAGTCTGCTCTCATGTTAACATCCCTTGCAGATTTATTGCCACTGACCAGGTAATCAAAAAGCAGGAGGCTGAGCGTGCCAGACCAAGCTTGCATAAAAGCTCTAAGGCCAAAAGAGCATGTCATTTTCTCTATACAACAGACATTAATGATTCTCTCTGCCTGCTCCACACGCATGATGTAACCAATCACTTCTGCAGTAAGAGACATGCGGCAGGGTGGCATGACATTCTGTGTGTGGTTTGTGCTCAATATGATGGTTAACTCTGGAAGGTAAATTGATCCATAAACCATGATTTCAAAGGAAGTTCATTTACAAATTTAAATGATGTAATTATTCATGTATCATATTGTCTGTATAAGTTCAGAAGTAGTATGAAGTACTTTTATTTATATATATTTTTACAAATATTTTTAATAATATTTTTTTGTTTATACTAGATTTTTTTATTGTTTTAATAATATAAAATTTTAATGTTTCAATAATATATTTAAAATGTATTCCTGTGATGGCAAAGGTGAATTTCATCATCATTACTCTAGTCTTCAGTGTCACATGATCCTTCCGAAATCATTCAAATACGCTGATTTTGTGCTCATTTATTATAAATTATTATTGGTACTTAAATATTTGTCTGTATAAGTTCAGAAGTAGTATGAAGTACTTTTATTTATATATATTTTTACAAATATTTTTAATAATATTTTTTTGTTTATACTAGATTTTTTTATTGTTTTAATAATATAAAATTTTAATGTTTCAATAATATATTTAAAATGTATTCCTGTGATGGCAAAGGTGAATTTCATCATCATTACTCTAGTCTTCAGTGTCACATGATCCTTCAGAAATCATTCAAATACACTGATTTTGTGCTCATTTATTATAAATTATTATTGGTACTTAAATATGAATTATGGTTCTTATTATTATCAATGTTGAAAACAGTTTATTTGAGATAGAAATATTTTGTAGCATTATAAATATATTTACTGTCACTTCTGATCAATCCTCAGTGAATAAAAAGTATAAATTTTTTCCCCCCCCTAAATCTTACTCCTAACTTTTGAATATTAGTGTATCATGTTTTCCACAAAAATATTTAGCAACACAACTATTTATAACATTAATAATTAATACTAATAATAAAAATCAGCACATTTACATTTGAAAATATATTCAAATAGAAAACAGTTATTTTAAATTGTAATAAGATTTCACAATAGTAAAACATTTTTTACTGTGTTTTTAATCAAATAAATGCAGCCTGGGCCAGCATATTAAAAAACATTTCAAAAATCTTAATTATTCCAAACTTTTGACCAGTAGTATATGATATGATATGATATGATATGATATGATATGATATGATATCATATCATATCATATCATATCATATATTGAAGTTGCTTGACAGTCGTAGACACATTAAACTGTCAGAAATTAGAACATTTTTATTTTGTGTTCCATGGAAAAAATAAAGTAGTATAGGTTTAAAATGACATTATAGGGTGGAATAAATAATGACAAAATATTATTTTTGGAGAGAACTGTCTCTTTTATGCATGCAGCCCTATTCGAAAAGAAAGAGGATAATAATGTTTCACTTCTAGGAGTTTAGCTCTAAATGCTGGAGGCAAATTAACCTGCTGTGCTCTGTTTTCTTGTGATTGAAAACCAAAGAGTTGCAAAATATGGCACCCATCTCCTGTGGTCCCGACTCTTGTTCTTCTTCCTCCCCCACCCTCTCGCTTTCTCTCTCTCTCATTAAAACTGTCACCAAGCTGCTCCTCTGGGAGTGGTTTAAAAATAACACAAATAGCGCTAGCTCCACACATCAAATAGCCACTACTCCTTTTAACAAGGTTTGCTGCAGGTTTTCGCTTTCTGCTATTTGTATCGACTCTCTTTTAAGCCCAGGTACAAGAACTAGAGTGGTGTTTTCCTTTTAAAATGTTTTATATATGTATATTTCATTTCAATCCAAACATTTAGACCAGATGAGACCAGGTCTATGCTGATAATGACGGACAAGACAGAATCATACAGAAAACTACATTGCAGTACAAATGGATGAAATGTACTGTAGAGTAATAAGTATCTACTCATACATCAATTTGAGCATTGCAAAATTTGTAATGAAGCCTTTCTTCATAATCATAATTAGTCTGCGGACACAGGGTATGAATATGGATAAAGAGTCTAATTTGCAAAATGAGACTAATCTAAAATCAATTAGCAAATACATGTGAAATTTTTGCTGCAATTTAATTTGCATGACAATATAGGAAAAATCATTTTAGAACATCCAGCAAACGCAAATCACTAGCTGGTGCATTATGCATTGATTTTCTTAGCAGATGATATTTCACTAATACCATGCAGAAATCATACTGGACAGGCATCGGAGAACAAAAAGAACTAAACTTCTAATAAGCCCCGCAAATGGGAATTATTTAAAAGATTATGTGTAAAGCAGCACATTTGCATAGTCTTTCCTGGAACGTTTCTTCACTTTCTGTCTTTTCAGCTGTCGGAACCGTATGAGGACAGATGGTCAAGTTCTTCAGTGTTGTGTAAAGCTATAATAGCTGTATATTTTATGAAATGATGTACGCTACCATTCAAAAGTTTGGGGACAGTAAGATTTGTTTTTTCCTTTGAAAGAAAATATTACTTTTATGTAGCAAAAACACATTAATGTGATGAAAATAACAGTAAAAACATTTATAAAGTTAAAAATATTTATATTTCAAATAAATGCTGTTCTTTTTTCAACATTGATTATGATAAGAATTATTTCTTGAGCACCAAATCAGCATATAATGCTAAATTTACACTGCACAGGTGCTTCTGAAGTGGCATTTAGGTATCTTTACACAGACTGTTTAATGCTGCTCAGAGGTGGCATAAATGCATTTACATACCAATTGCACTTTTATACAGTACTTCAACTCAGAGCAAGTATAATTTAGTCTGGCTTTTATGAGACATTGTGTCTTTACACAGAATTTTCAGGCACAGAGCAGCCTTGACTTGGCTGTGTAAAGACGCAAAGACGCCTTTAGAATGATTTCTGAAGGATCATGTGGCACTAAAGACTGGTATAATGGCTGCTGAAAACTCAGCTTTGAATCACAGGAATAAATTACATTTTATAAATATATTAAAATAGAAAACAGTTATTTTGAATTGTAAAAATATTTCACAATATTACTATTTTACTGTATTTTTATTAAATAAATGCAGCCTTGGTGAGCATAAGAGACTTCTTTCAAAAACATTAAAAAATCTTACCAACCTCAAACTTTTGAGCACTAGTGTAGTGAATGAAACATGAATTTCAAAACATGAACATGATTTCATGTTTAGAACAGAACAGAGTCTGAGAAACACATTCAAGATGACATGGTATAAAGCAGATTACACTCACCATCCTTATCAGCTCTCCGGAAAATCTGAAATGATACACATACACACACATACAGAAATACAATATATTAATAAAAAATATTATTCATTTATAATTCACATTATCATTATAATTCACCTAAACCTTCAAATAATTCATCCAAAAACCTGATCAACTGCTAATCAAGGTTTAATATCGGAAACCTGTATGATTTCAGCACTAAACTTATTATTATACAGCTATCTAATCTTAAATGTACATACAACAATTATTTTTAGACACTGGCTGCAGAAAAATAAAGTATATGCTAGAAAAGATGGATAAAAGTAATTAATAAAAGCGTCTCTCTGTAGAGTTCAGTGTCAGTCAACCTACTCAGAAGAGCTATTAAAGGAGACGCTGGTTCTATAGATAGGCTGACTGCAATTCAACTGCATGATACCTTGGCCCTTAATATGGTGCAATGATTAATCTTTGCATTGCATTCAGAAGACCACCAACACAAATTATATTATACAGGCATATGATCAGCTAGAGACAAAAAAGCAAGAAAATCTGACCATGCCCCCAGGACTTATTATTTAAAAAAATATATTTTATCACATTAAAATATATATCTTATATTGTAATAATATATACTATTGTCCTGTAAAAATAAAAAACAACATTTAATAATAATGATAATAATAGAATATAATAAGTATTAATACAATTGTTATTATTAAAGTACCTGATTATTGATTATTATCAATGTAGAAAACAGTTGTGCTGCTTGAAATGGTGATGCATTTCATTGTTCAGGACTCTCTGATAAATAGACCTTTCAATGAACAGCATTTATTTGCATTTATCAAATATATTGATTACATCGATTAAAACATTTATTAAATAGAAATCTTTTGAAACATTTTAAATGTCTTCACTCACTTTTCATCTCTTTAATGTATGATGAATAAAATTATTAATTTCTCTCTTTTAAAAAAAAAAATCTTACCACAAATGTTTGAGTGGTATCATTGTTTCCACAAAAATGTTAAGCAGCAAAAAACAGTTTTTAACATTGATAATAATAAAGAGTAAATGCTTCTTGAGCAGCAAATCAGCATATTAGTATGATTGGAATGATCATGTGACACTGAAACACGAGTAACACGTTTCAGCACTGATTCTACTCACATTTGTGTAATGCCATAATGTATAAGAAAACATAACCTTTTCACAGTTTATTTAGTTAATTGCTTAAGACCATTTCGCAGTCTCAATCATCATGCAGTAACCAGCATCACCCTGAACACCCCCCACCCCACTACCATTTTTTTTTTTCATTACTTATCTGCATGATTCACATGAGTCATGATTTTAGGCCGAAAAAGAAAAAAAAACGGAATTCTGGATCAATCCGGAAGAATCAGATTCCTGATTATAACCTTTAAGTTACTTTTTAAAGCAAGACTAAACAAGTTTGTATATTGCCGATGTGTTTGGTTGAACTTGTAAGAGAGTGAGTGAGGTGCTACTTAAATCTGCAAGAGCAACCTGATCACACGGTCCAGTCAGATGTGAAATGGACCACTTAAGACTCTCTGGTAAGAGGAAAATAACAGTCAATAGAATGTGCTGGGAAGCGTTACTCACTACGGGCTAATTTTACAGCAGTCGATCCATTCAGCCTTCAGCCTTTCTCATTTTCTAAATAAATAAATACAGTGAAGCGCGAATTGTTGTGATCAGATCTGGATGTCCATGTTAAATGTACTGGCTGCACAAGCAAGATTAGAGGTGCATGTTTATGACTGGACGTGCATGATTGTGTCTCGAAGAGGAAGCGTGTGCCGAACATCCGATAATTGAAACACATATTGACAGCACACAATTTGATCTGCTTCATTAGAGTGATCACCTTCTGCTGATGGTCAAAATCACTTCTCAATTGGATGAGCTTCATTCAATCCTGACAGCTAACAGCATTCCACCTGTCAGGATACTTCACCATCACAGAACAAACGCAAAAGCCACACAGAAGAGATAAATGGACATCAGGACAACCACTGAAGCATCTGCAGTAGAACAACAATGGGGCTTTTCATTCTCTTGAACTAAGAGGAGAGTGAATGTGGGAACAGTGACATGTCCGATCAATACTGTAATGTATTTTACAAAGCGCTTGAGAAGCACTTTTGGTATTTAATCTTCCTAGCCATTTTATGTCTTAAAGCAAAAGTGTCTGCAGCATTAATTGCCAAGTCCGGTTCTCAACTGGTGGGTCGTGACCCAAAAATTGGTTGCTGCAGGGATGCTCTGATTTTGTGGACTGTAAAGGAAGTAAAACTAAATGGAAATTATAAAATTCTAACCATATAACCTTGCATATTTAAATAAATAAAAATAAAAAGGATTACAACTAGGATTATCAGACTCTTTTAAATTGGGGTTCACCTGCAATAAGGATAAACATGGTTTGTGTGGCGAATAACTGGCTGTCCAGAATATGAATCTATTGCAATTCATGAGACATTTAGAAACTAAAAGTTTCCTACTCAGCATACATTACCGTTCAAAACTTTGGGGTCAGTAATATTTTCTTATGTTTTTGAAAAAAGTCTCTTATGCTCACCAAGGCTTGATCAAATATACAGTAAAAATGTTCTGCTTGGTTAACAGGACTCACTTACCTTACATTTAGAAAGAATTAGATAAAATATTTCTGGAAACACAGCCACATTTGACAAAATGTGGGAACCTGTTTTCAGGTATTAATTATGTTTTATATTATTATTTTTGTTTATTATAGGTGCACAGTATGTTTTTGTGATTCTTTTAGTGTGTATTACGTTCTGTATTGTTATTGGTTTTGAAAACCATGTAAATATGAATAAAAATATTATTTTAATTTAAAATAACTGTTTTCTTTTTTAAATGTTTTAAAATGTAATTTGTTCCTGTGATGGCTAAGCTGAATTTTCAGCATCATTACTCCAGTCTTCAGTGTCACATTATCCTTTAGAAATAATTCTAATATGCTGATTTGCTGCTCAAGAAACATTGCTTATTATCACAGTTAAAAACGATTATGCCACTTAATATTTTGTAGAAACTGTAATACATTTTTTCAAGATTTACTGATGAATAAAAAGTTTCAAAAGAACAGCATATTTCATATTTCATTTTTTTTTTTTTTTTACATTTAAGTCTATACTGTCATTTTCGACTTATTTGATGTGTCCTTGCTGAACAGATGTGTTAATTTCTTTCAAGAAAAACAAAATCTTACTGACCCCAAAATATTGAAGTAGTGTGAAGTAGTAGTCTTAATAGTGACATAATGTTGGGACTATTAAGTGCATGGTAATATTAATAAAGGTCCATATTTTAAAGAACCACATTTTTTACATTTTGTACACAATTCCAGTACAGTGTTAAATCACACCTTAAAGTCCGAAATAAAATTCGGGTCCACTAAACGACAGGATCCTGCTTTGTTATCACTAAACCGGATCACAGCAAAAGTAGCAGATGATGTCAAATGGTCTAAAAAGAGAAGTTGATAATGTTGAATAACATTTGAAAAAATAAGAACAGAACCACCATTAGCTGGGAGTTACATCACTATTTCTTCATTGTGATTGTCTGCTTGATGTGTTTGAGAATAAAGGGGATGCACTAAAGATAGGAGGCTGTTAAATACTGTTTGTATGGTCTGGCAATATGAAGTCACTTAATGTAGGTGACCCAGTTTGTTTGCACCTCAGAAGATATATCTCTGTATGACAGGAAAAGGGGACAGCTACCAAAAGATCTAATGTTCTAATGTGAACTACAAAGCTACAAAGTTGATAAAAGAGAGGGAGAAACTAAATAATTAGTACAGTTAATGTACATATTCATGCAGCTACAATATAAATGGTAAATATGTATATAAATACGAAAAAAATGCTTAGAAAAATACATTGCGGAGAAACCAGGTACAAAACAAAGAACAACTAGTGCATTCGAACCAAACCACTATCTATCCAGACCAATAATCAAATCAAATCCTGCAACTGGACCAAATCCAGACAACACAGGAAAAAATATGGCTCTGTTTCAAGACAATGACGTTTGTTCCCAAATTTCCTCTTTGGCCCATGAAGGCTAAAAGTGTCTTTGTGTTGACAAAAGAAGATGGAACAACGAAAGAGATAATGAGGTATTAGGCAAAGGGAGAAAAAGATTTATAAAGAGTGTTTGAATGGAGAGAGCTTGACTCAACGAATGGACTTGTTTAATAGTCAGTAATATGTGGACTCACATTTAGACTTGCTAAATCAATTGGATTGATTCTCAATGCTTTGGCTCAAATCCAGTTCACTGAACAAATGCCAAATATCTTTGTATTTTGAAGTTCAAATCAATAGTGCAATAAAGTCTTTAGTAAATGTCATGTGTGGTGACCATTTGATCATCTATCTATTCTCACACATCCAGCATCCTCACTTTTAAAGCGTGAACTAGAACGCTACTGTAATTTAGTGCACAGCATTCAACCCTAGTGGAAAAGAAAAAACATTAAATTCACTTAATTACTTCCTTAAGCAAGATGAGGTCTGGGACCTGAGACATGATGATGTAAGAATGAAATATTGTGAACTGGGAAACACACTTAGCCTTCTTTATGACAGCTTGTTAGTGCTCCACTGTTTTCACTGTCAGGTGTGGGGAAGCCGTGCTGCGAGAATTCGACACACCCTGAATGAATCCATAACTAGTCTAGCCGGTGAATCGAAAGCTTTCTGAAATGCAAAGAGGGGCCTTTACAATTGCATGCTGGATGACGCTCTGTGGCTCTGTAGTTTACCAATGCAGTTTTAAGGCCCGGTCAGGGCTGATGGCTGATCCTGGAATAGACATGGCAGCAGACGTGTCATTTGGTAGAGATATATAGAGTTAAGTAATGGAATTCTCTCACAAAGCATTGGGGGAAATCAATTCCCCTACAAGCACCTGCGCTCCGTACCGAAGTCTCCAGGAGAAATCATGTACACATTCTCACTATCCATAAAAGACACAGCACCTCATTATCTGCTTAACCCCTCCCTTATTAATTTCCTCCACCTTCGCTATTATCTATACTTGGGTGCATTGGTGCCTCTGGTCTTTTTCTGAGGTTTTTAATTAGTTTTTGTCCCCTCTACTTTATAGTCTTTTTACCTGAGACTGTATCTGGGTCTAGGACTGATCTACTTATCACTCTCTTAAATGTTTTAACTTCTCCCCCTAAAAGCAATGCAGAAATCTCAAGAGGTATGACCATCAGATACACATAATTATCCAGCACCGATGAACAATACTGAGGCAATACTTTGACCTACTAAATCAATACTGCTGAGACCTTGCCACAGCAGCCAACCACAAAGCATAACTGCCAGGCTCACAGGAAAAGCGCAATAAATTATTTAGATTCAAGTATGCTTCTCGGAGATACGGCCTTAAAATCAGAGCAAAAGAACTGTTGTATAACCTTAGAATGCTGAAAGGTACAGCTGGATGTTTCACTGCTGTTTCATACTAGAGAATCTAGTGTATCTGAGGGCTGTCCCCCCTAAATATATGATTAAAAACCAGTCTGTGTGTTGGAAATAACAATGTTTTATACTTTAAATAATTGTAAGCAGTAAAACAACACAAACGGGGCAAAAATGTGTTTTAAATTTAGAAACTTAAGTTTCTTAAATAAAGTTTTGAGTTTCCCCCTCCCTTGACTCACAGTGCTTTGGTCCAAATGCCTACTTTCCTCTTTTACATCGCCTACACACACAAACACACATACACACACACACACACTCACAGGAGAACAAAGCCAATAGTTGTGGAACTCCAAGGCTGTCAAGGCTATTTTATTCACTTACACATCAGATGAAGTGATTATTTTCTCTTTAATACAAATGATGCCAATGTATTTTTCGATGAGTCGCTATGTTAGCAATAATAACCTGTTAGCAAAGTTACCTGCTTGACAAAAAAGGGTTGCCAGGTTTTTTACAACAAAATTGCTACTCAAAACTAGCCCAAACTAACCGTTTCGAGGGGGTCTCCCGGTAAAAATTGCGTTCCGGGGCATAAAATACACATTATTGGGGTCGCTTAACCCGCGGCAACAGTGACAAAGTATCCTTATTACGTTGATATAGGTACGTATTGCTGTTTTTATTACGTTGCTAAAGGTACGTATTGCGGCGTTTCAGAATGAAAATATCCGGGGACTGTCGCTAAATGTTAACACTCTATCGTGTTGGGAATATGCCCTACACCAAACCCAACCCTAAATGCAAAACTGTTATGAAAACGCATTTGTTTATATAACCGTGCCATTTTAACTTCCTTATGCAAATGGGGCGAGGGGGGTACAGGACCCCCCCTATCTGAGGGTTGTCCCCCCTAAAAATATGATTAAAACCAGTCTGTGCATTGTAAATAACAATGTTTTATACTTTAAATAATTGTGTAAGTAGTAAAACAACACAAATGGGGCAAAAATGCATTTTAAGTTTAGAAACATTTTGAGTCTCCCCTTCCCTTGCCTCACAGTGCTTTGGTCCAAATGGCTGCTTTCCTCTTTTACATCACCTACACACACACGAGTCCGGTGAGAGAGAACAAAGTCAATAGTTGTGGAACTCCAGTAAGTAAGGCTGTCAAGGCTATTTTATTCACTTAAACATCAGATAAAGTTTATTAAAGATGAATTTCTCTTTAATACAAATGATGCCAATGTATTTTTTGATGAGTAGCTATGTTAGCAATAATAACGTTACCTGCTTGACGAAACTAGTCCAAACGAACCGCATTTGAGGGGGTTCCCCGGTAAAGATCCCGTTCCCGGGGCTGAAATACACGCTACTGGGGTCGCTTCAACCCGCGGCAACAGTGATAAAGTAGCCCAATTCCACAGGAAAACCGTGGACTTGGCAACACTGTGACGGATACAACGGACAAGAGCGCTGTCACGGCACGACCACAACTGCTTGAAGTTGTCTAGTTTGGCACGGTCTCCCTGCTGCACTAATAGTAGTAAGGCTTTCCTCTGTGTATACATATCCTTAATTTTAGCTGTATTATTTGTGTCCCCTTCAAAAATCGCTCTTGAGAAATTTTATTTACTTTCCCTTCAGCCTGAGGATTATTCATTTCACTTTTGGTGTGAAAAGGCTTTTATATTTGCCAAAAACAGAACTTTTTTATTTTCAAAACAAACAAGCAAGCCCTGTCCAGATTTAAAAAGTAATGCAAAAGTAACGTAATGCATTACTTTCCATAAAAAGTAACTAAGTAACGTAATTAGTTACTTTTTTATGGAGTAACGCAATATTGTAATGCATTACTTTTAAAAGTAACTTTACCCAACACTGTTCCTCTGTGTATACATATCCTTACAAGTACAATTTTAGCCTCCTTTAAAAATCGCTCTTGAGAACTTTTATGTTTATCGCCCCCCCCCTCAACTGTTAGACGAAATTTACGCCCCTGCAGTTCGTGTATTATTTCAATGCACGTACTAAAAGCTCAACTGTATTTCAATATGACTGTGAATGTAGGCTACGTGTCACATTAGGGGGATAAGGACTTTGTCATACCCTAAACAGGGTTATCTTGCGATAATGACCATCTGGCTGCAAATTATCCCACTTATTATCAAATAAATAACTATCCTATTAACTTAAAATATTGATTTTGAGTTTACATTGTTAGATGTAGATTATCTTAAAGCTTCCGCTAAGAAAAACAGTCCATTATACATTATAACACTGCAACAATATATTATACAAAAATTACCAGTTTTTATAGTTATTTATGATTTACATACAATTGTAACTTATCTTTTAAGCTCTCTCTCATCCAATCCTTTTTATTTATTTTCTGTTTGTTGTAGGCTATTTCCGACCGACTGCTTTTGGATTCTCGCTGGGGACTCTATGAGCTTCTAGCCATCCATCTAAGGTTTTATGCTCACAATGTAGGCCTATATTAAAATTAATACAGGCCATTTTTATTTCACGCGACAAACGTAGTGAGCCTTTCGAGTCGCACGGTGGCGCCAAGAATCGATATGTAAAGAGCCAGTGCGCGGAAAGATGCGCGAGAGAAACGCCGGAACCCTGTAATAAAGTAGGCTATATTACACAGGAATAATAGTTAAGTGTCAAATTATGCAAAATGGTTGGATTGGATAAAAAGTTAAGTAGGTCGATGTAAAAATTTATAATTGCTGTATAATTGCATCGAGTGTCAAATGTTGGTGAGTTATCTAAGTGATATTCTTTGTCTAATTATGGGATTAACCAACAATATTCTGAGGTTGTTTAAGGCAATTGAATAAAGTTTGTAAACGAGTGCATGCATTTCATATTTCTTTATACATAAAATAATAAAATATCAAACACCTACATCCAAAATGACAGAAATGCCCTTTCGGGGCTCCGGTGCAAAGAACTGCTCCTGAGCCACCGCCGCCTCCTCCTTCACATATTCCCGAGTAGAGATGCTTTTATTGTCGCTCATCTTGGTGACTATCCAGCGGACGAGCCCGTCTATTCCACCGGGCTGAGAACCGCTGTTTCCGGACTGTGCAGCCGTCGCTGTCTCGCTGTCCTGAGCCCCGGGATTGGGCTGGTCTTTGCTGTCCTGTGCCCGGAGTTTGGCTTGTTCTTTGTGGAGCAGTTTGTGGACGCCGTCCCTGCAGTAGCGCGCTGCTTGTTCACACATCCTTTTGCAGCGGAGCGTTCATGCTGCGCGCTATGGGGGCGATCCCTCCCTCCTCTCTGACATCAGCAGCGGCACACATCCCAAAAACTCACCTCCTGTCACACCTAACTGGAGCAGTTCAATAAGTGCCATCCATTTAGCTCAGATGCAGAAAAATGGACAAGAAAAGCATTATTTGCACTTTAGAGAGAGAGAGAGAGAGAGAGAGAGAGTAGCTACTAAAACAGCAGGAATCGATGTTAATGCCCATTGATTCCAGAAAATAACTTTTGAATTAACTATGTTTATGTTGTTTGGGTCTATTTTTGGCTTTGATTGTTAGTTTCCTACAGTAACTCTCAGTTTTAGATATTTAGATCTACCATTCCTGGATATCCCTTGCGAACATTTTTATTATAGTAAAAGTGTAGTAACGTTTTGTTGGCGGATTACCACAGTTGTACTAAAAATACCATGGTTCAACTATGGTTAGTGTAGCAAAACTATGGTTCATTCTTTTGTTTGTTTTATTTATAGTAAAACATGGCTAATTTTCGTATGATCTGTACCCAGATAGCACAGTCTGCAAGTCGCTTCATCTGGAAAGCACCTGCTGTGTACAAACATCTGATAAGACTCTATGTCAGTTTTACATTCTAAATCATAAACATCTTCAGACATTTTCTTCACGTCTGTTTGACATCTAATATAAAGCGTTCTATAGACGTATTGCAGATGAGCAAACACTAAAAAAATACATCTTGCAGACGTCAAATAGACACCTCCTTGATGTAGGCTATGTGTGCTATCGGTAGTCCATAACTGTAGTGTCTGCTTAAAGGCAAAATATGTAATTTTCGCCGCTAGAGGGCGCTGTAGCGTCTGGACCACTCCAACACACAAGTCAATAATCATGCAGATTTATGTTACAAACTTATAGAATTGTACAGTAAGAAAGTTATTTCCTTTAACCAGGAAATTAACGTTCTTAGAATTGACAAGACGGTTGACCCTGAGTGGTCAGCTAAATATCTACAGTGGATCTAAAATATGAATAGTTAATTATAACTAGTTATGGTTAATTATTCATATTTCCCATGAGCTGATTAGCTACAGAGCGTATTCAAAATAAACAAATAGACAAAGGCCTAGTTTGATGACGCTATGACTGAGTGTGAAATCATGGGAGTTGTCGTCTTCATCCCCACAGCCGATGCAATCCGACAGTACTCGGGCAGAAATCATGTTCATGGATGAGCTAATGAATTATTAACGTAGTAGAATGAAGCAGGGTGAGGCTGACTGTCGAAGCGAAACGAGGCCGCTGAACGAGCGCGACACACAGCTCGAAAGCAGCGGAGCTTTTATTATGCCACAGTCGACCGCTTCCGCTCCTTCCGGTCGTGCGTATGTGGGGGAAAAAAGCAGCACTGTTTTATCATACTAGATACATTTGAAAGTTCTGTTATAATGCTACTCTGTGCGGTTGTCACCGGTCTATTAAAACACACAACATATTAAAGTGTCTTTGGTGTTTCCATGTTTTCCATGTTTTTCCTGGAATTCAAGGGGCTATGACGTCATTGGCAGGCAACACAATGACACTATGGACACGGTCCGTGTCACTAGTTAAAATTGCTTATTTCTCTGGATTTAAACATTCTTCGAAACATTTGGGATAATGTAATTACACAAGTCAGCAAAATATATAACACTGTTCTAGTGGTTTTTGGATATTTTAATTAAAAAAATCTTACATATTGTGCCTTTAAAGGAACACTCCACTATTTTTGAAAATATGCTCATTTTCCAACTCCCCTAGAGTTAAACAGTTGAGTTTTGCTGTTTTCGAATCCATTCAGCTGATCTCCAGGTCTGGCGGTAGCACTTTTAGCTGTAGCTTAGCATAGATCATTGAATCTGATTAGACCATTAGCATCTCGCTCAAAAATGACCAAAGAGTTTCTATATTTTTCCTATTTAAAACTGGACTCTTCTGTAGTTACATCGTGTACGGAAAATGAAAATTCCGATTTTCATTGTACTGGCCCTCTTTCGCCGGAACGAGAGTTTAGTTCCTAGCCATATCGGCCTAGAAAATCGCAACTTTTAATTTTCCCTCGGGCTTAGTACACGAACTACAGAAGAGTCAAGTTTTAAATAGGAAAAATATAGAAACTCTTTGGTCATTTTTGAGCGAGATGCTAACGGTCTAATCAAATTCAATGATCTATGCTAAGCTACAGCTAAAAGTGCTACCGCCAGACCCGGAGATCGGCTGAATGGATTCGAAAACAGTAAACCTCAACTGTTTAACTCTAGGGGAGTTGAAAAATTAGCATATATTCAAAAATAGTGGAGTGTTCCTTTAAATAGACACAATAAAACACCCAATTACAGTATCCCATGGGAACTATCTATAGTTCTATACAGATGAACAATTACAATAGTTAAATGTAACATACGCAATCTGTCGCGGTTATTTCCTGCAATGCAAACTATAATTAGGCCCCACCGACAAAGTTAAATGTTAACTCGACTTAAAACATATTTTGTGGTATTTGTGACGGTTAAATCTTTGATAAAGTGATACACGATGACTTTATTTGTCATGCTTTATCAACGTAGAGCACAAACTGCAGTGGAAAAGCAAGATAGCAGCACACTGTTGCTATGGTTACACAGTCCCACAAAAATACATGCTACGATTCATTACTAAATAATAATAATAAAAAAAAACATTATACTTGTTTGAAAAAACATCCGGATCAACATCCGGAATTTGTATCTGGTCAGAAAAAACAGAAGCTTGACAGCAGCTTTTTTGGGGTGGATACTCCTTCTCTTAGAAAATCCCTGATTACCTTACTGTCTCTATAACGGTCTGAAATGACCTTTGTGACTTGAAAGACTGTTGAAAGGCTCCCCGGTCCTGCCCTTTACGAGGGGTGATTAAGTCATTCCAACTAAAATTTAATTGGCACCACCAAGTACAACCCCCCTACAGTTTGCGTTCCTATAGTGAGGCATTTGGGCAAACAGAAAAAAAGTGATTGGATGCATCTCTTTAATGTAGGGCAACTCACAGCAACCTGTTACTCCTTCACCACAGAGGGTGCTCAGATAATTACAACAAGCAGTAATCCCTTGTCTTTGGACATGCTCAGATCAACTCCCCTTGCAGCCAGTTTGTGCATGGCAGTGACAGGCTCTCTTTTCAGCACGTAAACAAACTCAGTGGTATATCATGGAATGTGCAGGGGGTAAAATGAAACTACTGAACGGTTATTCTGGGTCCTGTGCATCTGCAGTTGGATACAGAGGCAGACTGTCACTCTGTACACTTAAAGCTCATATTTTTATACATTTATATACATTGCTTAGGTGACTATAAATATAAAAAGAAAAATATAAAATATATTTAAACTATATTTTAAAATATGATTTTTTATTTTTATACTATATATATAAAGCAGGTAGAATGAAATAAAGTAATTAAAATATAAGTAATAATGAAGGAACAGTAAATACAAAAATACTACTAGAAAAATACTATCTAGAAAATGCAAAAAGCATGCAGGAAGGTTTGGCTGGGAAAATTAGATAAATGCAAGAGATTTCACACACATTCATACTGTAAATGAGTATGAAACAGACACCGCTGCCAACAAACACACACATACACACAATGAAATATCTGTATCTGAGTCATGAAGGGAATATACCTCCCACCATGTCTAAGTAGATGGGACATGTTAAAGGTGATGTAGGAGCAACAAGTGCACCTCCTGGTGGACTAAAGAAGAGCACGCAGGAGCAACAGCCATTGACTGGTATAATTCATACGGCAAACTCGAGTGCTGCAGAAATGTTTATTTTTTTTGTTCATTTTCAGTATTTACAATAAACTTGTATTTGGTTTAAAATGGCATATTTCTTCTAACTGAAAGACTGACTAAAAATAAATGAAAACATCTTAATAAAAAAAATACATTAAGGATAACTGTCCAAGAAACTTACAGTATTTTTCAAAAAGCAATGTTCAGTTAAAATGTTTTAGCCATTTTTAGGTACAGCCAAAGAACAGCATGGTCCTTTCTTCATGATGTTCTTTCCTCTGAAGGAAGTTCTGGAAAATAACCTTTTAAGTAGTAAACCCAGAAGATGCACTGTCCATGGCCTTCCATACGTGGGCAAGAAATTGTCAGCTTTCCATGACATGGGCCTCTGGAGCCCGTGGGAGGGCCATCAAATGTAACCTGTATGTGCTGCGTTTTTTGAGGTAAAATAGTTTCTGCACCCTTGACAGTGAAGGCAGGGTTGTCCACCTGGAAAGAGAAGGTGGTGGCCTGTTGAAAGACATTCTTAAAGGAAATCGAGACACTGGAACCTGAGCTGATGGCGAGGGGACCCTGAGCTTTAGGTGGGGTGCAGATGCCATACAGAGGGAAGACGTACTCCCCTCCAAAGTCTGAGCAGATGGTGAGCAGGCTTTGGATGTCTCCCACTTGGCAAGGTTTGAAAAGGACCATCACACTAATATCTGTGCCAGTTTGGTTCCCCACTGCTGCTTTAAAGTTCTTTTCCACAGTGAAGTTTGGATCGTCCGTCTGAATTAGAAACAAGATTTGAGTGGAATGTTTATAGCAAAGACATTAGAATTTAAGCTGCTGATGTCATTCTAAACCAGTGAAATAAATGGAGTTCAATGTTGTTTTAGTCCCACTGACTTTAATTTTACAGACAAAAACAATTGAAACATTAAAATATCTTTTTTTTTTTTTGTTCAGAAGAAACTCATTCAGGTTTGGAACAACATAAGGGTGAATATATGATAGCAGAATTTTCATTTTTGGGTGAACTTTCTCTTTAGGACTTTTATCTCAAAGATAAATTTGGCTAGGTGATAATGGCAAAATAGGTGCTTGTACCCCTGGGCTAAGTAGAAGAAGAACTGGACTGTTGCCCAGTGGTCCAAAGTCTTCTTTTCAGATGAGAGCAAGTTTTGTATTTCATTTGGAAACCAAGGTCCTAGAGTCTGGAGGAAGGGTGGAGAAGTTC